CCCTACATCACTAGCTCAAATAATTTGAAGCACCCTGGAGGGAAAAAAAGAAGACCCAAGAAAGGAATAAAAGCATCGTACACACAGTCATTAGGTCTGACTCGCTGTTCTGAATCAAAGGCAAGCGGTTGGTCTATTGAAAGTCTTAACCAAGAGCTTGAAAGAATCTGTTGGAAAAGGAGTTTAGAAAACAAGCATCAGGCCCCCTTCTGCGTACACAAAAGAGAACTTCAGTTCAGATTGTAATCATACTTTATCTTCTCCATTCGTCCAATTTCCATTTAAATATTTCTGTTGTTAATTGTTACGTTGGTATTGTTGCAGAGACGGGGAGAGTATGTATCAAGAGGACTATCGAGGAAAACATCAATTAGTTGCAACCGACAAAATGAATTTTTGCTTGAATGGTTCTCCAAAACATAAGGTTACTTCTAATGAGTTCAAGAGAGGTACCTTTTCACCTTGCGGATGGGATTCAAATCAGGTATGTTGTAGTCCATACTCCATGTACAAGAGTAGCGTGTGGCTCTTAATCTTTAGGGAAGGAATCCTGTGTATGATTTGGGATCAACTTCGTTATGTGCATATTATCTTTTTTACCGTTATTTAAGTATCATATGCCTTGGCCAGTTTGTATTCTATTGGATGCTGATCTATCTGGTCTTCTACAGATATGGGAACTGAACTCCAATGGGACCCTGGTAAATAGTTACTCCGGTCTTTGTGCAACAGTAGAGTATGTTGAAGGTGAATTTTCGTAAACATTTACCACATTTTAGAACTAGTTTCCTGGGGTTATACTTTTCTTCTTTTCTTTTTCCCTTATCACTCATAAAGCAAATTGGTCACTCATGCAGCTAATGCTAATTCTGGTGGGGTTCGCTCTTGGATTGCAACAGGAAGAAAAGGTCTCTCGCTACTTTCTAACAAACACTCTAGATGAATGTCAATAAATTTCTTCTATTCTGCAACTGCAAAACATCAAAATCGGAAAGATTCTTATAGCTAAATCATGAGTAGCATTCAAAAACTTAAATAACACCTAAATTATATAGGATTTGGCTCCTATTAAATAAGGGTCCTATCAACTATTATGTTTTCATTCACTTCACCCTCTAATAGGAGTCACAGTCAAATCCAATACTTATACAACGGCAAATTTTTAAGAAAACAGAAATAGTGAATACTGTACTTCCTGAACAATTCAACTTACATATTACATGATATCAGTATATATATCCTCGTCTCTACTATCTGAAAAGCCAAGGAACCCTCCCCCACCCCACAACATGCATGTGCACTCAAAGAAAATGCTTTGAAGATATTCTTGTATAACTCTTTAACTCTTATATCTGTATTCAGGGGAAATTTATCTTGCTTTCTTCAATCTAAGCGAGCAAAAGACGGTGATATATGCGAAGACATCATATCTGGCTAAGGTTCTTCCTGACAGAACCATCGATTCATGCAAGGGCAAGGAAGTGTGGAGTGGAAAGGAAGTATTAACAACGCATGGGACGATATCAATGAACGTGGGAATCCATGGATGTGCATTATTTGTTCTATATTGCCACTAGTCTGGCCTCCCCCCCTTATTTAATTACTCTTTCTCTGGTTGGGATTAATTAAAATTTGTATGTTAATGCAATGCAATGCGGTATGTAACTGTTGGACCCACCACGTCAGACAAACCGCATAGGTAATTATAGTTGTATTTTTTTTTCTTTTTAATAGCAATTATAGTTGTATGTTAGTAAGCCCCATGTTTTTCCAAGTAAACACATTTTATTTGATAGGGGTGCAACTGCCAGGTACATGATTAAGAGGAGTTTAAAAATTAAAAAAAAAAATGTGCAATAATCTTTTATATATTATTTTATATCTAAATATAAAAATATGATATAGTTATAAAATTTTATTACTTTTATTGTAGATTTTTTTATAAATCGCATTCATCAAAAAGTGAAATATATTTTTAGTACCTTAAAACATTTTTAAATTTTGATTTTAATCTTTTAAAACAAATTTATCATATTTTGGGTCATTTTAATTTGGAGATGCAACATTATTACTCCTAAAAGTTATTTCTACGGTCTATAATAATAGACTATGACAATAGTATAGAAGAAAATTAAGTATAATAATAGGCAATAGTATAGAAGCAAATTAAATAAAAAAATATAGTATCATCGATTTTATATTTATTGATATTATGTTATTTGTTTAATATAATAAATAATAAACTATAACATTTTTAAATAAATTATGTATTTATTTTTATGTTATAAATATTTTTATTTTAAAATACTTATGTATAAAGGTTTACAAAATGTGTTAGGAATGCCACTTTGTGGTGTTGTTAGGGCTCCATAGATCACTGTCTAGATCGTAAGATGACTTAGTGCGTGTTTGTTTTAGTTTTTGGACATGAAAATTCACGTTTGTGATAAGTAAAAAATTGTAACTTCTACATAAATTGGCTTGTAAACGTGGAGAGAGAGTGAAAAATCACGTTTCTAAATCTAAAGCAAACACACACTTATAACACGTGATGGAGTGTAGTGAAAAGTGAAAACTCAAACGGAGTATCTAAACCAGAAACTACTTGTAGTTAGAAAATTGACAATGCTCATGGTGAGTTAAACAAAATGACCAGCAAAAACTAACAACACAGCATAGTATAAGCTAGTTGCCAGCTGCTACCATCACTTTAGTTAAGCGCTGCATGCGAAGTTCCATCTTTTTTCAACCAAAAGAATTATTAAAAAAAAAAAAAAAAAAAAAAAACTATTTAATTTAATTAAAAAAACTCACTTAAAAGAGAAAATAAACTATGGATCGAGAGTTATGTAACTTCACTCAATTGCAAACTATCATCTGATAATTTATCAACGTTTATAACAAATAACTAAAATGTTATATTAACAATAAATTGTAAGGCTAATTTTTATATATTGAATATGAATTTTTATATCTTACAATAATATTTTTTAATAAAAAAATTTAATGAGAAAGTTTATAATTTTTTAACTTTTTTATCTAATTTAATTTTTATTTATCATATCATAATTATTTATTTATAGTCTTTCATATTGGGATAATTCTAAATTTCTCTACATCATTCTCCTATTTCTTTTCTATAATAAGTATCGGACACTTTAGAGCATCTCCAATGCTAGATTCTTATCCGATTCTTAAGTTTAAGCTCTCATTGCTTATAAGAAACCTGCATTGGAGCATGCTGACATGGCAGGTCAAATTGCTAAAATTTAAACACTGTTGCTTATATAAGAGACAATTGCTTAAGAATAAAAAAATAATTTAATATTTCTTTCCTTTACTAATGCCAATAACTATAATAATTAAATTTTTTAAAATTTATTAAAAATGAAGTATGAGTGATTAAAAAGTGGAGGTGCTTATAAGCAATTTTAATTGGAGTAAAAATTATAAAAATGTAATATAAGTTGTTTATGAGTGACATGACAGTGTAGAATCTATTTAAAAAAAGGTTTTTTGTTAAGCTAACAATTAGAAGATAAAGAAACTCCTAAACATTAGCTATGAATCTGATTGTATAAAAATGAAATCATTTTATCCTAATAATTATAATTATATATATTCAGCTAATCACTCCTTAATTTTTTAGGTTAACATTGTATTTTTAATTCAAAATCCTTCAAACAAAATTCAATATATATGTCCAAGATAATAATTATATTTTTTTTACAAAATAATAAGAAGATTTGTAAAAAGGTATGCAAATGTTTGGAGCGAACTATCAATTTACTCATCCAAAACACTAGCAAATTAGTTCATGAAAGAAAGAAAGATTTAAAATCGTCTTCAACACCATTGTTAATGTTTATTAATTGAGATGGATAAATTGAGACTTATAATCTAACTTATTTAAAGTCTTATTTAACCTAATTGCTTTAATAAAAAAGTTGGATTAAAAATTTTAAAAACATCTATGAAGAAGTGTGACCTATTATTGTGAATTTTAAAATATGTAGTATAAATGTATAATCTTATTATATATCACATTTTTAATTGTATAGTAATGTTTAAGATGCACGCTTATATAAGTTTTACAAATATTGTTATAATACCCTACTGGGCTAAATGGGCTTTTCACATTCACAGCACTAGGGTTCCAAAACCTCACTAGTACATAAACGGTTCGTTAGACCGAACGTGCCGCATTGCATTATTGCTCTGTGCGAGGCTTCAATTTGCAGCTAGGGTTTCGCTTAGAGCAGACATGGGAGTCTTCACCTTTGTCCTCCGCAACTCCGGCGGCGAATGGACCGCCAAGCAGCATTCCGGCGACATCGAAGCCTCCGCTGACTCCACCTTCGATCTTCAACGGAAGCTCGTGCAAGCCGCCCTCGCCGTTGATTCCTCCGGCGCCGTTCAGTCCTCTTTCTCTCTCGTGTCCCCTTCCTCCGCTGTGTTCCAGGTACACCTTTTCACATCCCTTACGATTGTTGCTTTATTTATTTATTTATTATTATTCGGAACTGAAAATTTACGGTTTATGTTTGCTCTGCGTTTATCTTTCATGTTTTTTGTTTGTATTATTTCGATTCCGTAGAATATGATAATTTCTGTGCGTCAGTGCATTGTGTCTTTTGATAGTTATTGACATGTGAGATTCTGTTGAGGAATGATTAGTTTGGCTTTGTTATGCTTTTTCTTCTTTGTGGTATTTTGTTTTTTCATTCAGATTATTCCGAGAATATGAGTTGACTTGAAGTGAAAGAGTTTTGGTGCTCTGACTTGCAAAGCTTCACCATTGTTCATTACCAAAGAGTTTATGTACACTAATGCTTATTGATTAATGGTAGAGTCATAAAATTTGTAAGCAGTGAATCAATCATAATTAGAGTGTCACCTATATTCTATTCAAATATTTATTATACTGATGCTGATTAACGTGAAATTATTGTTTAAGTTGAAAAATAACACCAATTGGATCTACGATCGTGTTTATTGACGAGCCATAGAATCATATAACTTAGATGCAATGATTCAATCATAAATAGAGTTTCACCTTAAAAATCTAAGCAAATCTTTACTATGCTGATTGCTGGTTAACGTGAAATTCTAATTCAAATTGAACAATAGCATCAATTACATGTACGGAGAATTGAATTCAAGTTTTGTCGGTTGATTACTTGTTCTATTGGTTATGAATGTTGGCCTTTTAGCCTTGGTGGTTTAATTTTTTGGATTGAAGCATTAAGTGGATCACTGATGTGGTTTTTTTTTTCCCTGTGTCGATTGTTTTGTTCAGGTGATAGTGGGTGGTGCAGTATTTGTTGGAGGTGGTGGTGCTGTTGCAGCTGCACCTGCGGGTGGTGCTGCCCCAGCTGGCGATGCTGCTCCGGCTGCTGAGAAAAAGGAAGAGAAGGTAGAGGAAGAGTCGGATGATGATATGGGATTGGGACTTTTTGATTAGAGTTTTTTCTGCTTTTTATTGAGTTTTTATGGCAAAGAGCTTTTAATGTTTAATCCTATAGATTGTATTTGTGTATTGGTTTGTGCCAGTTAATGGTACACTGAACTTCGTCAGATAGAGTTTTGTGTTGCGACCTATATGGATCTTTCTGTATCGGGTTTTACTAACGAATTTCTTTTTTTCTAAAACATGTCACCCTTTTATTTTTCTATTTTTTTAATCACTGGCTGCTTGAATTTTGTGCGGATTACATCTAAGAACAATTTTCGCCATTCGTATTACTACATTTTCTTGCTAGAAACTGATTTTATCCCCAAATTCTCTTTTTTTTCCTCTTTCTGTAAAATGATGCTTGTTTTTACCTCAATTTAACACATTAACCGGTTGATTCTAACTTTGTTATCGTTTTGTAATTTTTTCTTGCTGATTGTAAAAAGGATAATCCAACCCTTCTATGTAACGGCTAAAGTAAATTTAAACGTACAGTGTATGGAAAATGTCAGCAAAGCACATTTTCTAACATCTTTTTGATAGACCAGTGAAACTTCAAGCTATCCAAAATGCATTCCTTTCACCATGAGGGCATATAAGTGGAAAAGTGAATTTTGGTCGTGTAACCTAACATGGATAACTAAGATTATTTTTAATTAGATTTAATTTTAATCAATTTGAAGTTGACCACTAGAGTTAGCCTAGTGGTTGGATGGGGAGGAGTTTGAATAATTAGAAACATCAGGACTTAGGTTCAATTTTCATTGTAATTTTTTCTATCTTTAAAAAAAAAATTAATTTGAAGTTAAGTTCTACGATTTAGTTTTTTTCTCGTTATCTTTTATTATGGTGAGAATATATGAAATGAGGTTTTTTTCTACCGTGAAAAAAAGAAGAAAAAATCATGTTTTAAATGGTAAAAATATTTAAAGGGGAATGTAGATGACTTTTAAAAGTGATCATGCGAGTGATAAACTTTTAAGGACAAAACTATTAATCTTGATCTTCACGTTGGGGTATATGACTCAAATTTATAGTCTCCACAGCTCATGGAAGAAAAAAAAATCTTATTTCTACTAAAGGAAAGAGACACTTCATGTTTTTAAATATTTTTAAAAGTAAAATAAATAAATAAAAATATAATAATTTGAGCAATTATTTAAAATTAATTAATGATAGTTATTAAAAGAATTTATTTTTTAAAAAAAAATAAGGGTATAATCGTCCACAATTGTGGATACGAAAAATGGTTAAAAAAAGTATTTTCTTTATAAATTAGTATACATTTATCTTTATGAAATATTGAATAAATGTTATCTTTATAAAATAACAAATTTTAATGTTAGTCACTAAATTATATTTTACTTTTAACTTTCTAAAATTTAAAGTAATTATTATTTGTTTCTAACATTTATTGTAGAATATTTATTACAAGTTCACATATTACATAATATTAAAAATAGTTGTCAACTAATTGTGATTATGACTCGAAACTTGTTAAGTCAAGAATCTCAAGTTGAGAGTTAGACGGTTTTCTTCTTTCTTTTTCTCCTCTTCTTAGTTGATCAATTAGAGGTAAAAGAAGTTTGTGATTGATGATTCTAGTGTTGTAGTTTATATTTTCTATTAAATTCTCTTTATGTTTGTTTTATATTGAAAATTGAAAGGAGATGATGATTATGTTGAGTTGTGATTTTGGTTATGTTTTGAATGAAATTTGATGATCATTGGTTTATAATGGTTGCATGTTGTGTATGAAATAGTTTTTGAGTAGTTCATGGTGCCTAGATGTTGTATTATAATGTTAGTGGGTTGTTGGATTTTAGGTGGATTTGGGCAACTCGAATTTTTGTCAAGTGCAAAAATTATCATTGTGTCATGTGTGACTCAAAGTCAAGGGTTTTCTATCTCATGACATTAGGCACATGATTGGTTGCATCAGACACAAGGAGAGAGAATCGTTTTTGACTTGGTCATGTCAGACATTAAGTTGAATGACATCAAGCATAAGGACAAAAAATTGTCTCTACGTAAATTGACATTAAGCACCAATGTAGTGACGCCAAATATGAGTTAGGCAGTGGCCCTTTACTTTATTTGGGGTTGAGCATGGATTTTGTCACACCAAGCATGAGGGAGTGGGGGGCTCTCTAACTTAGTCGCGTCAAACGAGGGTGGTTTGGCATCAAACGTAGGCGAGACAGTAAGCCCTTTATCTCAATGGCATTAGGCGCCTAGGGATGGGGTTGGGTGTGAGCTGTGTGATTTCTATTTTTATGTTTTAAGTTGTCTAATAGTTGAATGACGATGATAAATCATTATTTTTTAAATTGATAAACTATATAATGATGTTTAAGTTGCTAAGTTGTAAGTTGATAGTTGAAAAAGTTGTAAAGTTGAATGATATTATAGTTGATTAAGTTGTTAAACTATTAGACATGTGGTGTAGATATATACCTTTGTTAAGATACATAAAAATTAGAGGAGAGTAGCAATTGTTTTAGAAATTTAAAAATTTTCATTATGGATATAAGTTGTGGTGCTTCGAGATTTTATGCAAAATCCATACGTGGGCAAGGTTGAGACATAAGTGTATAAAATAACTAATTGAATAAGGTACAAGGCCAATGACTTAGTATTTATTCTTAAATTTTAAAAACTGTTATTTAAATACTTAAATATTTATTGTGTTGTTGATATATATTTGTTTATTCTAAAAGTAAATCTACCTAGACTTATTTCGTTCAATAACTCGTGTTCTACATTAAATTTCAACGATTCAACTATTGAATTTAAAATTCTTAATGCATAGATTAAATTCGCAAATTCTTAAAAAAAATTGAAAATCACACACATACATACATATATATATATATGTGTGTGTGTAAAAAAGATGTAGTATTTCCACAAATGAACCTTTATTTCATGTTGGTTTTTACCCATATCTACATATTTATGTGTTTTTCAATAATTATTACATGTTAACTTTATGTAATTGTATCTAATTTTCATCGCTAGTAATTGGTATGTAAGTGTAGGGATTATAGTCAATCATTACAAGTTTTAATTAACTTGAATTTATTTAATTAATTTTTAATTAATTTTACAAATTACAAAATTTTAGATAATAATTAATTAAAACTTGTAATTTAACACACATATTAATACAACGAGTTCGAGTGAAATAATTCGATTTTCACTCATGTGTATCTTGTACAAACTGATAACTTTTTTTATTATAAAATATATAAGAACTATAAATTTAATTCACATAAATATATGATGAATGACCAGTATTAAAAAATATTTAATATCCGCATGACCATTAAAAAAATGACCATATTTTTATTTTAATTTTGATCGTTCAAATTTAATACACTACACTCACTTACTTGTTTAGCATAATAGCAAGTCATATTTTCATATTTGAATGATTAAAATAATTTTAATTTTAAATTAAGTCAATAAATTATACGGTTGAGATTCCTTTTTATCACGTTTTGATTTCCCACCTAATACCATTTTATGGTCGTTGGGAGTCGTCGTTCCCACGTTACAAAAAGGAAGTTCTGTTTTTAACTTTTTATGTTTCTTGTTGGATGAAATAATCTGTCCATGTATAAAATTTACAAAGTTGCGTTTTACATTTTTAGCTCAAAATGAATGTATAAATTCTTTTTTGCTTTGAGAGGAAAAATAAGATTTGCTAATTGCTATTAAAGTTTGTCACTGAAATTATTTAATTAAAAACAGTGTGTTAATAAAGTTTGAATAGTTGATGGACAGTTAAGTATTTTAAACATGTTGTTTGTAGTTTAATTTTTAATTGTATATATAGAAACAAATTTATTAAAAAAAGTCAAGAACATTTTTAGTAATCTTTATGCTTTACAATTTATTCTAATTGTATCCTTTATATCCTTCATACACATAAGAAAATAAAAATAGTGTGATATTTTCATTTATAAGTATTTGTTTGTTATTAAACTAATGCTTTATAAAATAAACATTTAACTTTCACGATGTTCATACTAAATTATTAATAATGAAATAAATATATAAATAATATACTAAAATATAAGATTTTAAAATATTGAAACAGATATAAAAATAATGCAGCAATATAATATTAAATTTTAGAGATAAAATATATATTTTATTTTAATATTTAATTACTACTTATTTAATAATAGATTGTTATTAATTGACATAGGAAATATAAGAGATATTTATATGTTAAGTGTAATTAATTTATTCATAAAAAAGATTATTCAAATGAAAATGAATGTGAGTAAGAGTGACATATTTACGCAACTTAGAAAAATATTATAATTTATATAGGGTGATGTTTTTATTAAATTATTTATTTAGAATATTAAGATAAAATAGATTATTGTATATTTAATTACATCTCATATTTATCAATATCTTTTTTAATAAAATACATGTATCTTCCATCTAAGATTTTTATGTTTGAGTTAAATAAAAATATTATGATTGACAAAAAGTTATCTAAATATTTAATACAATTATATATCAAAGATTTTAATATGAAATTACTAATTAAGCTAAAACAATCATGTAGTGAATCAATCAATATGTTTGATGATATATATA